CAAGCAATCACTTGATCCTTGTCTGCTGGTTCCATACTCCTTCCAGTTTAATTGTACTGAAACATTGCTATAAAACAACTAATGATTATTTTTTATTCTATAAATGATCCACCTTGATAATACGAGGTGGAGCACCTTGGGTTCTCAGTCTGATTACTGATGCCTCCTGCCGTTGGTCCCTGCAGGTGTGACACAGCACCAGTGGTCAGAGGAGGCCTCCATGTTATTCAGGAACCACGTGGAGGATCGAGCACTGGTAGCCCAGGTGGAGAGCGTGCAGGAGGTGTCGGAGGTTAAAGGTGAGCTGTGGGAACGGAGGTTGACCGTTTACCTGGTGGACACCGCAGTGGAGGACAGGGACATTTGGATTCACAGCATCATGGCCGACATCAGCGGTGATCTCTCTTCTGCAGCCTAAGATGTTTCCTCATGCATGTTGGGAAATTAACCAGCAAGCCGACTCTGTGACTGCAAGTATATCTCCCGAAATGTAGTTTTGAACCAACAAGTTATTTTCGAGTTCTAAAAAATGGTGACAATGCTCGGTGAACTTTGGATGATAAACGTCACCCTCTGCCCTTGGTTCATTTCCAGTGTTCTGGATCTTTCTCCCAGTCAGAGACTTTAAAGAAGCTCTTTACATTTGTTTTGGTCATAGTCAGGGGCCATCTGAACTTGACTGAAGATATTGTTTTGTTGAGTTCATTATTTCTGTTACATTTGTCTCAGATGCTGTTAAGTGCAGCTGAAAATTAATTAGGAAGAAGATGGATAACATAACACACCATCAAATGTTACTCTTGTCAGTCTTGGAAGTAATCATTTAGAAACAAACCCAACTCACATTAATTCATCTATTTTAGTTTCTTCAAGTTAATCACCTGTGTGGCATGGTTTGTTGTTTGTGTGTGTGTGTGTTATTTATGACTATTCCCTCGACTAACTTTTGCTTTGCTGTGCCTTATGCATGCAATGGTGAAGCTCATTTTGCACTTAATTTTGTGTGTATATGTTTTTACATTAATCCAACCGAAGTTACTTAACTGCATGAATCTAAGCAGTTGTTAAAGCTTCACTGATGGGAACACCTTGTTTCATATTATCTTGTGTGACTTGACTGAAAAGAATAAGTTGTAATATTTCTAGTGTTGTTTCAACATGAAAAGCTGTTCACAAGGATTTGTTCTATTAAAGCATGTAGTCAAAGGAGGGTGTACTTTTACTGAAAGCTTTTTCAATTACGGTATTTATTTTTTATCAGTGTTCTGACAATGTGATCTGCTATTTCAGGATGAACTGCCAGTGAAATAAAAGGGCTTTACCCATTATTGAATCACTGAATCCTACACACTGGAC